CAGGTGACTTATGTGATGCGGGGAGGGGAGCATGCAGCCTTTGCAGGTGACTTATGTGATGCGAGGAGGGGAGAGTGCAGCCTCAAGACGGGTGTCGGCCGCTTCCCTCTCTGGCAACCTCGTTGCCCAAGAAGTGGCTGGGAAAATCGAGATCTATGGTGAGTCAGCTATGAGTCCTTGCACAGTCCAGATCTCATGCCTCAACATCCTCACGAGGAAGCCACCAATCTGTACCTTAAGTCCACTTGCTCTGCGCAGTGTAGGAAAGATCTGCCACCTGATTTCTGGAGAAACTTGGACTCAGGTTAAAGTTTTAGGTCACACCCAGTGATGCTCAGTGTTTACTCCTGGTTCTGCACTCAGGTATCACTCCTGGCAGGCTCGGCAGATCATCAGGGTGCCAGGGATCAAACTTGGATCAACCGTGCAAGGCAAGCACCTTACCTGCTATACTACCTCTTGGACCTCAGTGAGTCAGTCCTAGATCTTACCCAGGCTTTTTGGGTATGTCACCTTCCCTGATAGAAAAGAATTCAGGAGGAGATGAATAGTTAAGTAAAACAGCTTTATTTACAGATTATGAGGAAGGAAACAGAACTCTGTGTTCAAGAGAACACAGACTTCTCCAGAGGTGGTGAGAGCTGAGAGTACATGTCTCAGGCGGCAATGTGGGCTGACTCCTGGAACGGAGATGAGGACTCTTGTCTTTGCAGAGTTATCTTAAAGATTTTCTTCCAAGTTGCCCCCATGTGGGACTTTCTACTAGATAAGAGTCTAGTGCTCTGGCATTGCCAAGGAGAAGAGTTTGAATCATTTGGTGTCCACCTTCATGTTCTTATCACAACCCTTTGTTCCTGCTGGAGCTTCTCTTTGGAGGGCAGTCCAGCCTTCTCCAGGTCTGTGATGATGCCAGTTAGAGAGTTTGATCAGACAGCAGTTCCTGTGTTCACAAAGTGGGCCTGACCCAAATGCTTTTAGCTGCTTTAGGGATTTTTAACTGCTCTTTAAATTCCACCTTGGTTTTACTATGTCCCAAGACAACCCATGCCCCTCCTTCCCCCGTGTACCTGCCAGCTTTACTATCCATCTATAAAACAGAAATTATCCTTATTGAGCCAAATATTAAGTGAAAATCAAAGTGAAAAAAGAAATCCTTCTGAAATGCAGAAATTACCAAAAGAAGATATGAGCTCATGCAAGTCACTAAGAACTACATGAAGACCTTAATGGCAAAGTATCTCTTATACAAAGAGCAGTTCAAAGCATATAGAGAAAATTCATTAGCAAGCAACTCATTTTGGGTTTATGAAATACACAATTTAAAAAATTGGTTTATGGCAGTGTTTCTTAATCTTTTTTCTTCCAAATGTGCGGGCTCCCTCATTTCCCCCCATTTATGTGATTCTCACTGTGACCCGCTTAGAATGTCAAGGCTCAAATGTCAAGGTTGGTAGTCATTCAAATGCTGAACTGTAACAGGTGTGGCAAAGACATGTGCCCATCCCAGCTATGCCGAGTGTGATTTGTGTTCCTGCTCAGAGTAGTGAACCCAGCGTGCATGGAACTGGCTAAGTGAGCCAGGAGGGAGGATGGTCTTTTGCCAGCTTCACACCCTCAACTGTCTCTTGGCTGCAAATGACTTCCAATCTCCAGAAACCAAGTCAGGAGTATCTTGTGAGAGCCAGAGATGTTTATCACATCTCACCTAGGAGGCTATTTTTGGAAATCTATCCTAAGAAAACAACTGTGACTACAAAACCTTAGAGTTGCTAACCCTTCATACGAAGCCATTTAAAAATTGCACTACAGGGTAGGTGAGGAGAAAACTTCAAGTTTGTTATGCATATTTGGAAAATCTCACATAGAAAAATATTTTCTAGACTACCATCCAATGAAAAAGTGCAGTGTGCTTTGAGGTGTAATTCTGGTTTACAATTCTGTGGTTTATAAATTTCACTAAGAATATTTTAAAAGTAAATGAAAATAGAGGGAAACAAAATATTTCATCCCAGGAGCTACAGGTTCCTAAGTGCCTGCGAAATGCAAGACACTGTCAGTGGTTTCGCATAAGGAGTGCAAGTCTCTAGGAGGTTCCTGGGAGGGCCTATTTTCCCACTTCCTACAAAAGGAGGTTTAAGCAGCTTCTGTGGAGGGTCTGAGATTAGGCCTCAGGTGATCTTGCTCCAAAGCCCCTAAGTTTCCTCCTCTGTCAAAGGACTTTTCTTTCTTTTTTTTTTGTCTCACACTCAGAGATGCTCAGGCATTGCTTCTGGCTCTGCACTCATGAATTACTTCTGGTGGTGCTTGGGGGAACACATGGGATGCTAGGCATTAAATCTTGGTCAGTTGCATGCAAGTCAACTATCCTACTATCGCTCTAGCTCAGGTTCTTTCTAATTCTGAGTACCACTACATTCCCAAGCTACTTTCTGTTGTTCAGGACTAATGGAAACTTTTTTAGGCTTGGTTGCTTTCCAAAAGTTTTATCACTATATATGCTCAATATTACTTTTTTAGTGAGCATACACATCTACTAAAACTATGATAAAACTTAGGTTCTGACATTTCAAGTCTGACTTCAGTGAGGCTACTTCCTAAGATAGATCATTATACAAATTCTTTAAGGAAAACAGGGCTGTGGGAGAAAACTAGGTAGTCTGATTTCTGCCTAGAGAAAAGGTCAGCACAACTTTCAAGAGCTTGCTAGATGAGGCTACAGCATTCCCGAAACCTTAAAATAACCTTAAAATAATTTTACTTTTTTTAACTTTATTGTTTTAAACTGATGTAAGAAATTTGAGTACATTAGAATTTGTGATTATGAAATTATACTCTAAATATCTGTGTTAATTTTTATGCCATCTTGTGTACTTTGAATATGTGCAGTTTTTATTTTTTTTAATTTTTATTAGTGAAACACCATGAGGTACCTTTGGAGATTTACAAATTTTTGTGCATAGATTTTAATTATACAATGATCAAATACCCATCCCTCCACCAGTGCCCATTTTCCACCACCACAGGTCCCATGATCCCACCCTGCCTCTGTGGCAGGGTATTCCCTTTAGTTCTCTCTCTCCTTTTGGGAAAAAACATCTATCTTTAAGTCCCGAATTTCCTCTTAGGAAATAGGAACCTATGCAAAGACTTTGGAGCACACTGATCATGGAAACGTTAAACCCAAGAGAATAGGGAGAGGAACTGGAGTGTACACATAAGAAAAGATTAAAAGCGGTTCCAGTTTCCAACCCTAGATGTTAGTGAAATAAAGCAGGAAGAGGCAACCAAGTGCTAGCCAGTGCTGAAAAAAAGAAATTTGGGTGTATATTTATGGATAAGGGCAACTATTCATGATAAACTGGAAAAGCACAGCCCTCAAAGCTGCTAAGAGGAGTATAAATGACATGATTCAATTTAATTAAAATGTATTTATTTAAAATTCTATACAGAGCTACACAAAGGAAAATTTTATGTGCCTTTTAGGAGCAAGGATAGATGAGAGAAAAATTAAAATATCCAAAGAAAAGTAAATGTCACGTTCTAATCCTCAAAGGCTATTATTTACATACTCACAGAGCTTAAAATGTGTATTTTCAAGTTAACATTAACCAGTCTATAAGAGCAGTACCTATCTGTCGGCCTTTAGGGAGTGGTAGGGGAAAGACAAGTGAGCAGAAAGCCCAGGGCCCAGGACAACAGTGAAAAAAGCAACAGCTGAAAGCCAGCAAGTCAAGCTTAGCTTGCAAAACAGGAGGCTGTGGCTTCTACATACTCCCTGTATGCCAAACTGCCCTCAAGTGGCAGACAATTCACTGTCCACAGTGTCCCTGTGGCCATCTGAAACTTCACGAAAACCATCAGAACAAAGTCAGTCAAGTCAGATACACCTACTTAAGGTAGGAGAGAAGATGCTTAAGGTCCTCAACTAACAGCCCATCAAGGAGTCCCTGAATTAGGATCTCAAAAAGGGTTTCTAATCCCCAATTTCAAGATAAATGGCTTACCCTAAGAGCACTTTCTGAAGCTAATACTATGAATGTGATCATCTGATCTAAAGTGAAACAATGTTGTGATTACTAAAGAAAAGGTGTTTGCACACAACAGTCTACGGTTTCTTTCCTTCCAGAGAGAAGGCAGGAGTAAAAAAATACAGGCTCGGTTCCTGCTCCATCACTTCTAACTGAGGTCAAATCAACTGACCAGAGTCTCAAATTTTGTTTAACTGAAAAAAAACTAGGTATCTTGACTATAATACAGCCCAGTTTTGTAAATTACCAGGTATTATGTATTACCAATATACCATCTTTGTGAAATAATCAATACAGATATACCTTAAAAATGATATCATGCCCTTTGCTGACACAATCCAAGTGGTGGAGATATTATGTGTGAATTAATCTATTGAAAACTCAAGAAACACAAAGCTTATCTGGAACCTAACTCAGTACATGAATTTTTTTTCTCATTGGGTCACTCCTAGTGATGCTTAGGAATTACTCCTGGTGGTGCCAGGGGACCATATGGGATGCCAGGGATTGAACCTGGGTCAGCTGCGTGCAAAACAAATGCCTTACCCACTGTACTATCGCTCCAGCTACAGTCACATGAATATTTTGGTCAGGATGTCAAAACCCAAGTTCTCTATTTGTGAACTATCACAAAACAGAAAGGCAACATCTAGTAGCTTCTTTCCAACAAAATTATTAGCTTATTTAGCGACAAAATTATTTTTTGTTAGGCATTTTGGCCACTGTGATTACTGATACACGTGCTGAATCTCCACCGGCAAAGATTGTTCTACACATCTGCAGATGTTTTTTGATCACATTGTGAAGAATTTTCCAGATGTTAAAATATAACAGTAGTATTAGGTTCAGAAAGTGCTGGTGGAAGAGCCTTCTCACATTCAGAACATTCAGAGTGTCTCTCCAAAAATAAAGTCTAAGATACTGAAAAAAGTATGTCCTCTGAATGGAGGTTTTTAGCATTAATTTCTCTCATCATGTTTCTCTTGAGAAATGGAATTGATAATGTTGAGTGAGGTATGAAGGTTGGCTGAAACATTTTCCACACAGCTGACACTGGTAAGGCTTCTCCTGACCATGAATACGATAATGCTGTACTAAATATGAATTCTGACCGAAGGTTCTGCCACAGTCACAACACTGACAAGCTCTCTTTCCAAAATAGTCATTCTTCCTCTGATAGCGAATTAAATGTGTCTTGTTGCGGGAAAAACCAGGTAAAAGGGTTTTGGTTGCTGCAGGGGCTCTGGGATGTTGAAAAAGATGCATGTCCTGAATAAGAGCTTTGCCACGATGGAAACGTTCTTGGGAATTCTGCCTGAGAATTTTTACATGGCCGCAGGTACTAGCTTGCTTTCCTGCACTGCTTCCAAGGGACTTCCGGCTGCAACAAGTCTTCTGGTGTCTGGTAAGGTGTGGCATGAGGTAGAAAGCTTCTCCACATTTTTTACACTCAAAGGGTTTTTTCCCAGTATGGACCTGTTCATGTTTCTCACAGGCAGATCTAGTACTAAAGGTTCTTTCACAAAATGCACATCCATGGTGTTTGTCGACCTGGGGCAAAAGCTTGTCATTCACTGGTTGGGGACCAGTGAAAATTCCAGGAGTGTGTTCCTGGGGATCTTTTCCTAGGGGTCCTCCTGACTCTTCAGAAAAATGTGAACCATTAAGGATTCTTCTTTGAGGTAGGACCACATATGATTCTGAAGAATCACCAGTGTGAGACTCTTCTATGTGGATACAACCATGGTTATTTCCCTCTGAATTGTCCATTCCTGCCCCCAAAGATGGTATTTCTACAGGCAGGTTTGGCTCTAGAGTTTGATCTTTGATTTCAGGTCTTTTCTTCCAATCTAAAAGAAATGTAGAATTTCTTCTACTGTTTTTGCTCTGAGATAATAGAGAAAAACGGACCAAAATAACAGGGCAAATTTTACTGAATTTTAGGAGTTTTCAGGAAACTTAAGGAGAGAACTGGTGAAGTTTGGAAATAAAGAACAGTAAGCAAAGAACAGTGAGGTAGAAGCAGAAAAGAAACCATCCAAGAGAACTGAGACACAGAGAGATGATGATGTGGATGAGGAAACTAGAGAAAGCTAGATCAGGGGTTTACTAACATATTCCCGGTCATACTTCGTAATTCAATGGTATTCTGAAAAACTAATAGCTGTGGACATAAAGGGATTCCACAGTCACGTCCACTCAGGAAATTCTATATAATGTGAGTCAAATAGGATTTGGTCCCTCTGACTCTTCAGAACCTGTAACAGAATTACTGAATCCCAAAGACAAAGGCACAAAATGGCATGTTTCTTAAACTGATTTTGCCAACAATGAAATAAACAAGTCAATCACCTGTTCCTCAGAATAAAAGAAAATTATTCCAATTTTTCTTAGTCCTCAATCTCTCATCAACTAATTTAGTTGAGGTCTTATAAATGCCTATTTTGTGCAAAGCATTAAGCAAAGCAAAACAGTGGTCAACAGCTAACAAAACTATAAACGATTACAGGAGAAAAAAATGGTAGAAATCATTCCATTTAAGGAACAAAAAGACAGGATAGGGGACGGCATTTGGGTTCAGTCAGTGAAAAACTTGGTGGTACATTTATTTAGAAACAGCCTGAGCAAAGACGAAAACTCTGAAAATACACAGTTCTAGATCTAGAAACAATAGTTTTTTTACCTGGAATATCTGTGAAAGATTTTGAACGGAATGGGTAGGATTTAAATGTTTTGCTAAAAAATTGAATTTTGAGTGTAGAGAGTAATTAATCAAAAGTTTATGCCTTATTGGCCCTGTGTGATATTACAGCAGACAGGTCATTTTCTTGCACATGGCCAAACCAGGCTGGATCACCAGCATCCCATGTGGTCCCCCAAGCCTTGACAGGACTAATTTTAAGTGCAGAGCTAGGAGTAACCCCTGATAATCGCCAGATGTGGCCCCCCAAAAAAGTTATGGCTTATAGAAGCAGCTCTATGGGTGCAAAAAATATTAAAACCAAAGAAATCAAGGATAAGATTATAGTTTGGAAGAGACAACAATGAGCACAGTGACCATTCCGTCAACTCACAAAATACATGAGTAGAGCATAGATGAGAAAGAAGACACAAGACATCAATTCAGGAAGATGGATTACTATATTATCAGAGTATATTAGATATTTTAGAAAATTATTGTAAGAAAAGACTCAAGCAGAAATGCTTGTGTTTTCCATTTCCTCATGGCTACAGGTCCTTCAGTTCCCTTATCAGAGAATATCTCAAATCTGACCAATAGTCATTGCTCAAGCTTCTTTCACTATTACCTTCCTGGACTTAAATAGCCTCACAGCTGGTCTCTCTGCTAGCCTACGAAAAGTTCCCCTCTCACACTCTCTCCCTCTTCCTCCCCACATCCCGCTTTTTGCTTTTGGGTCACACTTGGAAGCATTTGGGGATCCATAATGTGGTGCTAGGGATAGAACCAAAGTTGATTATGTACTATCCTTCCAACCCTCCAAGCAGTTTTTTTTTTAATAGAAAAGCTAAAGAGATCTTTCTAGAACAGTATTTCCCAAAGGAACACCCTGTGTAATGTATATGATTTATGTTTTTGCTGTATAGAAGCCATAACACTCAGATGTGGCTGGTGTAACTGAGGAACTAAATTTTGTGTTGTTTGTACATGTGGGAAGTATCTACTATAACGAAAGTTCTGAGAAGCTGGTTTGAGGGAGAATTGAGGCGGATGGAAACCAAAGTAGAATCATAGTTTTGCTCCCCTCACTTCAGAAGGTAAAAACTGAGATTTGTAGCAGGAGGAGGAAAGGTGTTAAGAGAACGTGGTGTTTAATACACTAAGAAAAAGAAACTGGCTGCTATAGAATCGGCAGGAGAGAAACCCCGTGCTGCAGAAGTGAACCTTGCAAAGCATAGAAAGGAAGTTCTGAGGACCCTGAGCACATGAGGAAGTGAAGCTGCGTGAGCCTGAGGAGACAGCACCAATCAGCCCTTGCCCTAATAGCTCCTGACTGTCTTTCCAGAACCGCCTTCCCTTCCTCCTCTGCCCCACCACTCCCCCAGCCCCCTTCACCACTCACCTTGGCACATCATTTTATCACTGTTTCCTTCCATCACACATGACTCCTCCTCTTCCAGCTGTGAGATAATGTCGGGTTTTGGAAATTGGTGTCCTATGGAAGAACAACACTCATAACTTGGGTTCTGATCCCTTTTAGTGACTCCCAACCTAGTTCCTAAAGAATCTGAGATAAAAAGTTGCAATTTAACACTGAAGAAAAAGAAGACTTTCTTTCCAACATCTTTGCCCTTGGGGACCTTGGTAATATCTGGAGGTGAATTTTGAGTGACACACTGCAGAGCTCCTTCCTCTGAACTGTGACAGTCAAAACATCCTCCAGGATTTAGTCCTGGAGGCCAGAGATGCTGCTAAGTAGACTACTGTCCATAAGATGACTATACAACAAAGATGACTTGGTACAAATGTCAATGGCGCCAGTAGTCAAAGTAGAAAAAAACTCTGCTCCAGTGAAACTGGAAAGCAAACTGGTGACTGGCGGGTGACTATCTCAGCACCTGGAGCCCAATGCTGTAGCTTTGGATAAGGGAGAACAATATGTTCCTTTTTCATTCCTCTTGGTCTTAAAATACTTCCTCACTCCTTCCCTTAATTTCAATGAAGTGCTTCCCAAATTTCATCACATGCTTACCTGCTATATTCCTCCCCAAATTCCTATGTCTCAAATGTCTGCATCCCCCAAATTTCTATGTTCTGAATATTTGTGTCTCATCTCCTATGTTCAAATACTAAATAGTCCAGAAAGAAACTCTCAGCACTCGCCTTGAATGTGTAAGGTCTTGAGTTGATTCCCTGGCATCATAAAATAAACAAGTAATAAATTCTACTACAAATGGTACACAGATATGACCAAAGTGTAGTATCATTCATTAATTTTTTAGTGAACAATGTACTGGGAATACTAGTATTGGCATATTTATTGTTTTTAGACAATATGTTTTTAACTCAAATTCACTTTATACAGACCATATAAATGTAAACTACCATCATTTTTTAAAAAAGAAGGAAAGCACTAATCTTTACATAACACAATAAGTAAAATAGAAATGACAGATATTGGTGCCAGCTAGCTTCAGCTGTTTCTCTAAGGCTCTGGGCCTGATGTCTGCTCTCTCTGTACTAAAATGAATGCTCAAGGAGACACAGAATCATGCTAGATACCAAACTGACTGTATTTGATGTAATCAGAAGATCTGGAAGAAGATATTAGAAGAGTTCTCTTTTCCCCAACTGAAGAATCAATCATTTCATGCTGTCCAATGATTTTCTATAAATTCCACCCAGTCCATACTTGGGAAGACAATGACCTGGGCAATACAAACGATCTCTGCTGACCCCAAACATACAGTCAAGGGCTCACAAGGAGGCAGTAATATCACCAGGTCACTCTGAGGTCTGCAAAGATAAAACTGGTTTATTACCTCTTTTATGGGTTATCAGTGAGGTAACTGAGAAGAGTTATGATGTGAAGACCACTCCACTGTGCCTTACAAGTAATAAAAATGATAAATCCAATTACACATCCTTGAGTAGGTTTGCAGTAAGGTGCTTCCATCTCCCCAGGTTGGCCTCTGACTTTAACAAGAATAAGAGGAGCAGCTTTCTGCTAGCAGAATGGTGTTTAGTTTTGACTTTTCCAGGAGACTTCTAGATACCTTGAGCATCACTGAAAAGAGGATTCTGGCACTGGCACAAAACATTTCATTTGTGGGGCAAGGTAAACAACACTGCCTCTCAATATGAAGAGAGACTGATAATCTCTGAACGAAGCGGCTGGAGTTTTAAGAAATTTTAGCCATTTCTTCCCCAACTCAAAACCATCATTTGGAGCCTGCAATGGTTCCCAGTCCTGAAAGAGCAACCCTTCAAAAGCACAGCAGAGTTTAAAGAAGTCAATTTTGGAGTCAAGCTCAAGGGTCAAAACTAAGCTCTGTCACTTTAGAATTTGTGGACTTTGAAAAACCAAGCATGGGTAACCAGTGACTGAAAACTCCAGGTCTCAAGGGACTGGGGACAGGCTACTCCTTCCCATCTCCCTGCCCTTTTGCGGTCCTGGATGTCACACCCACGAACTGCCTCCCAGTGCCATGTAAGCACACTAATGGCCATGATTCAGAGACTCACAAATGAATCTCAGAACCGATTAGCTTGCTAGAGAGATGTCTCCAAACCCCAATTATTTAAATTTCAGAATTCCAGGAGCATGTGGCTCCTTTCACAGCTGCGTGACATCTCATGCTATTCAAAACAAACAATACAAAATAAATTATCTAGTATCTGACAGGGCTGGAGCGATAGCACAGCAGGTAGGGCGTTCGCCTTACAAGCGGCCAACATGGCCGACCCGAGTTCGATTCCTCTGCCCCTCTCGGAGAGCCCGGCAAGCTACCGAGAGTATTCGATATGCCAGACACAGTAACAACAAAGTCTCCAATGGAGACGTCACTGAGCCCGCTCGAGCAAATCGACGATCAACGGGAGGGCCTTTACCTTTACCTTTATCTGACTGTGGCAGGCAGGCTTGAGTGGCAGTGGGAAAATTAGAAATAATGATGGTGGGAAGGTGTAATGGTGGTGGGATTGGTGTTGAAATGCTGAATGTAATCAATTATTGTGAACAAACTTTATGAAAAGAAAACTTAAAATTTTAGGGTTTTTTTTTTTTTTTTGCTTTTTGGGTCACACCCGGCTATGCACAGGGGTTACTCCTGGCTCTGCACTCAGGAATTACTCCTGGCAGTGCTCAGGGGACCATATGGGATGCTGGGAATCGAACCCGGGTCAGGTGTGTGCAAGGCAAATGCCATACCCGCTGTGCTATCACTCAAGCCCCCCAAAACTTAAAAATTTAAAGCAAAAATAGAAAAAAAGAGAATTCCGTGACTTTAGAGAAATTATTTTAATTTTCCTTGACATGACTGAGTTTCTTCATCTAGAAAATGTAAATATTAATAAGAAAGGTAAAGCACCATTACAGAAAAATATAAGAATGAAGAAAATAAAACATACAAAGTGCTGAGACCATTGACACAGATCATATGATAGATAAATATTAGCTATACTGTAATAGTAAGATGGCTATAAAGATGTTGTTTCTGATCTGGTTCAGACTTACCAATATGGGAACTACTACGCTGATAGAAGGCCGACTCACCTACAAAGACCAGGTTCCTATAATTCTCCAGAATCACCTCCCGGTAGAGTTTTCTTTGAGAAGCACTAAGGTATTTTAATTCCTCTGGGCTGAAGTCCACAGTCACATCCTCAAAAGTCACCAACTCCTAAAACACCAGAAATAATTCTAAGTGGTCAAAGTATAAAAATTTCCCCAGGAAGGTGGTAAAATGGCCAATTGAAAAAATGAATAGGGGCCAGAGAGATAGCATAGTGGGGGAAGTACTTGCCTTATACCACATATAGTCCCCGAACCCCTGCTAGGAAAGATCATGAGCAAAGAGTCAGGAGTCAGCTCTGAAAAAGCCAGGCAAGACTCCTTCCCCACCCCACAAACAAATTAAAAGGAATAAACATAAAGTTGAAAACCACTTTGGCAGAAAACCTCCAAGTAATCAAATCTAGAGGTTACAATACTTTTGGTAAACATAGGTTGGATTAGACATAGACACTCAATGCTTGGGGGCCAGGGAGATAGTAAAGAGAGTAATGTTTTCCTTGTACATGACTGACTAGGTTTGATGATCCCCAGCATCCCATGTGGTCCCCTAAGCACCACGAGGATTTATTCCTGAATAGAGTCAGGAATAAGTTCTGGGAACTTCCAGATATGGTGTGTGTGGGGGGGGGAGGGGGGGACAGGGGTGAGTAGCACTCAAAAGGCTGAACTCATACTTAATATGTGGGAAGACTGGGTTTAATCCTGGCACTTCACTGGCCTCCATAAGCACCATGAGGAAGGACTCCTGAGGCACCCAAGTCAGGAATAACCAGGCCCTAGGCACCTATGAGGATGAGAGAGGCACAAAACAAAAAACACCTCCAGCTTCAAAGACTATGAAAAGTATTTTAATAATATACATATTTTGTTTTTTTATGGAAACATTATACAGATTAATAAACATTTTAAGTAGAGTTTTTGTATACTGGCTGTCCAATCAAGGAGTTTATTTGCCTTATATAGATGTTTTATTTATTTTTTCATAATTCCTGTTAGCTGCCAATGCCCTAAAATGCAAAAATTTCAAATTATTAATTGGGTTTTGTTGTTTGTTGTTGTTGGCAACAACCAGTGTTGCTCAAGGGAGCACTCCTGGTGAGCTTGATAAAGGAACCAGATGTGGTGCTGGGAATTGAATACGCAGGGCAAGTGCCCTACCCACTTTACTATCTTTCCAGCCCCTTTTGGGTGAGAGATAGTGAGGAGGGAAGGGAAATCATAAGGTCTGGGGACCAGGGCTCATATTCCCAAATGGTACAGTCAGCTGAACCTGAGACACAGCTATCCCTTAAATGAGTCCTGCACCCCTCAGTTTGTTAGAACCACTCAGTTATAATTCTTTGTTCATGTTACCTTGTCTCTCTCTGTGGCCATCTTTACTTGGGATCCTTGACATGAACCCTGTAGACAGAAAATAATTCCTAAAAGGTCTTCTGAACAGTGTTTCTCACCCTCTTTCCCCATCACTTTCCTTATCAAGGAGTCTTTCAGACTTCCCTCCTGTCTCCCCACATAAGTTTTTTTCCTAGTTGTAAGAGACACAGAGGCAATTAATTTCACCATTGTCTTTTTTATTTGGGGGGCCACATATAATGACTCTAAGGGGTTACTGATCCTGGCTCTGTACTCAGGAATATTCCTAGAGGTTCTCAAAGGACCATATAGGATGCTGGGGGGGTCAAACCTGTATTGGCAACATGCAAACAAAAGCTTTACCCAGTGTAGTACTGTAGCATTGTATCACTATCCTCCCACTGTTCACTGATTTGCTCAAGCAGGTACCAGCAACGGCTCCATTGTGAGACTTGTTGTTACTGTTTTGGGCACATTGAATACGTCATGGGTAGCTTGCCAGACTTTGCCATGCGAGCGGGATACTCTCAGTAGCTTGCCGGGCTCTCCAAGAGGGGCGGAGGAATCGAACCCGGGTCAGCCACATGCAAGGCAAACCCCTACATGCTGTGCTATCGCTCTAGCCCCTACCCAGAGTACTATCTCTAAAGTCTCTCAAAATTGTCTTTTAGGTTTCAAAATGAATTCAAATGAGAACAGTAAGAAACAAAAGAGTATCATCTTGCTATAGTAACTGCCCTTTGCTACATATATGAAAATGAGCATAATAATAGTGAAAGCCAAAGTAGCCAATGAGTATAATAGGAGCCAAGAGTTGAGATAAAATGAAATGCTAAACAAACCAAAAGTGATTCATTCAAGACAGGGAAGTGTCCATATAAGTACATGGAATGGTGTTAAATATGCCAAAAAATAAAGCAAGGCAAGGGATTGAAATAAAGAGCCAGATATTAAAAGGCTCCGAAATGAGAACACGGTTTAACTAGACTGGAAAGTCCTAAGAATCAGGTAGGTAAAGCCCCATGTTGAAAAACCAAGTTAGAAGTGAGTCGACTCACAGAGGATCTGGCAGGTGACAGATTTTCAGGCATCTCTGTGATTTTCCTTTCATGTTCTTTGGTACTCCCATTTTCTGCAAGGACAGAGTTCTGAATGGAGAAGTCTAGAGAGACAAAGGAATGACAAGGTGAGTCCAGTCTGGTGGCAGACAGACATGGAGTAGACTGCCATCCCCATACTTCCCCAGCCTTTCAGGAGAAGTAGTAGCAGTCTTACATTTCCTAATAAAAGGACAAGCTCAAAATAAAAAAGTCCCAGAAGAGAATTCTGATTATTTCAAGACCTCCCAACTGATTTCTAAATAAAGTGGAAATTCCCATTTCACCAGAGATTTCAAGCCTTGCTGTTAAATCAGTATCACCAGGGAACCTCAGGTTTTCAACTGTAAAATGCAAACCATGATATTACCTATACTTCCAAGAACTCTTGTAAAGATAAAAAAAATATTATGTTTTTAAAGCACAAAAGATATTTTTAAGTAATGGGAGTGTGTATTAAGCTTTTCACACATCTATTTTCACTCACTAATCTAGACAACAACCACCGCCTTTTCTAGAGAAAATTGAGAGTCCTCCTTGCCTGCTGTTTCTTTTCAAGTGCACCTTTCTTAGCTTATTTCTTTCCCCTATTCTAGTGCATTCTCTTTATTTTCCACTTGAGTCTATCTCTATCAAAGGCTCAATATCTTTCAGACTTTGACCAAGTTTTCAACCTCTCTAAATAATATCCCTTATGACCACTGAGGCAGCATACCTCAATGAAAGCACAATTGCTGGAGTCAGCCACCCAGCTCTGAAGCCTGAAGGTCATTTATCAATTGTGGGACCAGAGGTAATATCCTCAACCTCACGTGCCTCTGGCTCTTTTCTACAGAACAAAGTCAATACCTATTTCAAAATCATTAAGTGAATTACTAAAAATAAATCATCCGGAATATAGTAGAATATAAGTATTCAACATATTCACTATCAGCATTTTCTAAATTCTCTTAAGGAATAGAGATACACAGAACTAGAACTAGATTAAACATAAAGTAAAGGTCCTCCCGTTGTTCATCGATTTGCTCGAGTGGGCCCAGTAACGTCTCCATTGGAGACTTTGTTGTTACTGTGTTTGGCATATCGAATACGTCACGGGGAGCTTGCCAGGCTCTGCCGTGCGGGCGAGATACTCTCGGTAGCTTGCCGGGCTCTCCGAGAGGGGTGGAGGAATCGAACTCGGGTCGGCCATGTTGGCTGCATGCAAGGCAAACGCCCTACCGCTGTGCCATCGCTCCGATATGAGATTAAACATAATCCTTAGTTTACAATATTGGCATTGAACCATGCATGACCCATGTTTAAGTTTTATTCATTTGTATATTTGATTTTTTTTGGCCTTACCTGGCAGTACTTAGGTGGCATTCCTGAAGCAGTGCTTTTGATCAATCCCAACAATGCTCAAGGGGCTATGTGGTACCAGGGAATTGAACGTAATCATCTAGTTCCTTAGTCTCAATATATTTGTGTTTCAAAGGTAATTAAAGGCTTTGAAGTCACTATCCAATCTCCAATAATTTAAATCTAATGTATAAATTTATTTTCTCTGTCTATATCCTCGGGTCGGCCATATTGGTCGCTTGCAAGGCAAACGCCTTACCCACTGTGCTATAGCACAGCAGTAGGGCGTTTGCCTTGCACGCAGCCAGCCTGGCCGAGCCAAGTTCGATTCCTCTGCCCCTCTTGGAGAGCCTGGCAAGCTACTGAGAGTATTCAATATGCCAAACACAGTAACAAGAAGTCTCACAATGGAGATGTTACTGGGCCCGCTTAAGCAAATCGATGAACAACGGGAGGACAGTGTCTATATCCTAGTCTTCCCTCTGGAGAGAACTATGGCCTTGGATTCATATTGTTCTCACCACTGTTTGTGTATACATATATGCATATGTACTTATATATGTATATATGTGTCTATATATGTATATGTACAAGCAATACTGTTTTCAGTATTGTTTTAATTCAAAGGACTATGAGAAGTGAATTGCTTTCATTCCTCATTACTGAAATTCCATTAGTTCCAATCTAGTAACTCAAGTTTTTAAGACCAGTATAATTTTGGCAGAGATAACTTCTATACCTCTTGGCATCTGGAGGTACAGTTCAGAGTATATGCAGGCCTCATAACTCCTACATCTTATAACTTTTTTTTGGGTAAGAGACTGTGTGTTTTTTTGGCATTGATACTAAGGTTTATAATGGATTAAAAATGAGGAATTTGAAAACAAAACAAACGAGAAGGGGTTCTCTCCAAGAAATAATAAACATTAAAAGTTGAATCCCATACTTCTTCCATCTCATACAAGATCAAACCGGTTTATAATTGTTTTTTCTTTTTGGGTCACAGCCAGCGATGCACAGGGGTTAATCCTGGCTGTGCACTCAGGAATTACTCCTGGCGGTGCTCGGGGAACCATATGGGATGCTGGGAATCAAACCTGGTTCAGCCGCAAGCAAGGCAAACACCCTACCATTGTACTATCACTCCAGCCCCTGGTTTATAAAATTCTTTAAAAATTTTTATGCAGCTCCAATTTTAAGTCAGGCACATAGAAAATTCTCTAAGCACAAATAGCCAGTTGCCTCCTTTCTCTCACCTTTTAACCCACATGCTTGGATCAAATTAGCCACCAGGGTCCCTGCCTCCTTGCTGTTCTTGGGTAGTTTTGATCTCACCCACACCTGAACCTCTTCAGGCAGGGTGCTGAGAAACTGCTCCATCACCAGTTGCTCTATCATCTGTTCCTTGGTGTTGGTTTCTGGTTGCAGCCATAGCCGGCAGAGCTCCTGAATTTGGCTCACAGACTGATGAGGCCCTGTCACTGACAGGTACTGAAAATGCTTAGAAAAGTTCTGGCGAGAAACTTTCAGAACCTCTGGGTTTCTTATGGAAGTGGCTTCTGAATTCTCTTCTTCATCTTGTGCACAAAAGAACTGGGGATTCCTTAAGATAGTCAAAACCTCATCTATGTGCAGCATCTTTATAGCTTGGCGTCTTGCAGGATGGAGACACTCTGAAAGGAAGACTGCTCCAGAATAAACTGTAATGGAAAATGATAAACAGTGATATCAAATGAAGAAAAGAGAAACCTTGGGACCTGTAAGGATTATACAGAGATTCTAATAGATGGCTTGCACAGCAAGGATTGGACAGGGTGCTGAAGGTGCTCTTAAGCAAGGGAAGTTGGCTCATTTCATACAAATCCTAAATACACACATCTATAGAGATGATGCATCTCAGTCCCAGGTTTAGCAAATCCATAGGCATAGCCTAGAAATATTTCAGAAATGATATTTAAATGAATAAAAGTTTAAACTCCAACCCACACTAGAATGAGCTAATTTGATGATTCACAGAAGAATTTCATTTCAAAAGATAAATGAGCTAGATTTACCCCACAGTTATCATCTCAGCAAAACCAGTCCCACATCTCCTAAACTGCACAGCTGCCTATATTCTACTTAACACATCTCACACAGTTCACATTTATACTTCCTGTTACTGGGTGAAGACAGCAGTTGTGTGGAAATTACGACAAAAAAAATGGAGTTACAAGACCCAGCGGAAAATAATTCAAGATGGCGGCAGCATAGAGCAAGCACCAGGGGGATGTCAACTCAGCGCTCTAAACAACAGGTGGGGCCACAAAATTTCTGCGAGCATGAACATGGGTGCGTCTTAGTTATTCTGGACCAGGGAGAGTGCATTAAACAAAACCGGCTGGTTGCCTGACGCGGAGCGCCGACCAGAGCTGGACAGATGAGAATGCAGCTCAACCGCCAGCCTGGGAGCTCCCACAGTTGTGGGCACTATAGGCTGCGGTAGAGTTTTAAGGGGTCTGATCTTCAGGTTCAACTCGGCACCACTGCTGAGAGTGGGTGTTGAGGTCCCAGAGTTGAGGATGAGCTCTGGGTCCCCACCACGGGGTGCAGCGATTTACCATTTCCTCACAGGACCAGCCCATGCCCTGGTGCAGTATACTATGGAGGCGTGTGCCCTCTGGTCACTTTCTGCTGGACTGATGGCTGCAGGCCAACCAGATTGCCCAAGCCACAAACTGTAGCAGCCTTGGACCCGGTTCTGGTCCTTGCTGGGTCCACTGATGCTGTCATCCTGGGGCCCAGGGGGCGCAGTGTTGTAGGCAGGTCAACCTGGATCCACAGGGGGAGTGGATCTGCAATCTGATGATTATCTGGGCTTACTGGCACTCCCAAAATCACTGCTGTGCCTTTTTCCAGATTCCAACAACTCAGAACCAAGTTTTCCAAGAAATTAAACTGCCGAAAGTTAAGCATGTGGGAGCTACACCCACAAACCACCTCCAGCTCAGCCTTAAAAGCTCATTTATCAGCCTTGCTCCAGAGTCTCATAAATAAATCTTGAAAGAGATAAGAAGCTGCAATTCATCTCAGACCGGTGCAAGGCTGTACATATGTAGTACAGTGGAGGGGAGAGGGTCAGCTTGACGTCTGCCCAAGCAGAGCCTCCAGCAGTTGCCTGTTCCCACAATCCCAAATCACTGCCATGCTCCTGGCCACACTCCACTGTCTCAGGACAGACCTCCCAAGATATTAATCTGCTGATAATTCAGGTATACAGGTTTTGTGACTAAAATCTCCAGAATCTCTCAGGGTTGAGATGGACTACCTACCCCCACCTCACTGCACCTCTAGATGCACTGGCAGTAACGTTCACAGCCCAATGCTGCCACCCAGTTGCAAACCATAATGCATAAAAGGAGCGAGAGAGCAAGAAAAAAAAGGTGTCTGCCACAGAGGCAGACAGGGTAGGGGATTGGGAGGAGTGGGTGGGAGGAAAACTGGGGACACTGGTGGTGGGAAATGTACACTGGTGAAGGGATGGGTGTTGAAACATTCATAAATAGCTTTGTGATGTCTTTCATGTTGATTCAACTTTTTAAACAATGAAGTTACAAGGTAATATGAAATGAAGCCAAAGAGAAAGTATTGCTTACACATCACCACAATTGTAAGTCCCAAAGAATTAATTAAGTGAGATTAAAACCTGTAAGTACTGTAAGCTTCATTTTGGGGGTATAGTTGAATTCTACATTTCAGTAGTAAATTTACTACTTTTACAAAAAAAGTTTCTACAAAGCAGTGTGAAACAGTGCTACTTTCTATCTAATCCAAGCTATCAACCCAGGTAGCTCTGTTCCTTTTGACTATGAGGTTGCCTAATCTGTAAAGGCCATGGTTCCACCATATCTTTATTTCTCCTTATCCTATTCCATTCCTTCTCTGATGTGCTGACCTCTGCTCTGCCTTGCTTTGCTCTCTCTATTGCCTTAGTACTTCAGGCTTCTGTCTCAGCTTCCTCCTCCCACCCTCTCCACTGGCCACCCAGGATACCTTAAAGCCCTTTCTGGATAATCCTAGACCTGCTTTTCTAGAAGCTTTTCCCTACTCAAGAAAGCTATTACCAATCACATTTTTCTGGAATGCTTGGGTCTCATTTTAAGTACATGTCTTAGCTTCTCTTTTTTACTCCCTCCACCCCTCACTGAATCACAACACTTACAATCCCCAATTTCTTTTTTTTTCTTTTTGGGTCACACCTGGCAATGCACAGGGGTTACTCCTGGTTCATGCACTCAGGAATTACTCCTGGCGGTGCTCAGGGGACCATATGGGATTCTGGAAATCGAACCCAGGTCGGCCGCGTGCAAGGCAAACGTCCTACCCGCTGTGCTATCGCTGTGCTATCCCCAATTCCCAATTTCTTATTTGAAAACATTATTGCACGAAGGATGGTTTACATTTTATATATTTAAGGTTTACACTACAACTTTGTTTTGGGAAAAAAAGGGACAAATAGAAACCATCTCTCCCACACGAACACAAACACAGCCTTTTCTTCCTTCTCCCCCTTTAATTTCAAGACAGTGAGAGGCATCTAAGACCTATTACAATTATATTTTAAAAAGAAATGCACAGGACCCCAAGTGATATAGTACAGTAGGTAAGGCATTTGCCTTGCATGCAGCGAACCCAGTTTGATCTCCCGCACCCATATGGTCCCCTGAGCACCACCAGGAGTAATTCCTGAGTGCATAGCCAGTAGTAACCCCTAAGCATCAACATGTGATTCAAAAAGCAAAAAAATAACAATAAAGAAAAATTAAAGAAATGCACAGAGAATAATTCATCTTCATTATCCCCCAACATCATCCTAGATATCCTGAGATTTAACACTCCTTTTCTCAAGGTCTCCTCCTGTTAGTACCAAAGCTGACCTCCTTCTTTTCAGAAAATAAAGAATACAGACATTTCAAACCCCTCCTTCTACCTGTTATAAATATTCCCTGAAACATAGAACCGGGCAGAGGTGGATGGTTTCTGTCGAGCCGCCGTCCAGGGATGGGGGTACAGGGGCCTCAAGACCAGGAATTTGGAGGGCAGAGCACCCACCCCGGGACGAAGGTGGGGGGGAGGGTAGTTTGGCCAGGAGAGACAGAGGGTCGCCCTTCCTGGGGCTGAGAGAAGGGGTAACTATCCTCTAGCCGAGAGAACAGGTGACCATAGGGGATCAAGTGGGGGGATGACCTTTCCGGGGCAGTGGAGGGGAGACGGTCGAAGGTGGGTGAGAGAGTGAGGTGACTGACTCCAGAGAGAGGCTGACGGCCCTGGGACAAGATGGCTCCCATGAAAGGGCGGGCCTCGGCGGCGGGGATTCCCTGGCTCGGGACAGAGCGCTGCAGGCCCATCCATGCCACTCGGAGGGAATAGCACGGCCGTCAGAGAGTGAGGAGACAGCGCAGGCAGGAAATGTGGGGACACAAACCAAATCGCCGTACCCCACAAACCGCCTACCCCTCCCCTCAGGCGAGCATCCGCGCAGCCCCTCCAGTTTCTGGGACCCCCCATGGCATATGGGGGCCATCGCACCCTCAGGGCCGCCACACCGCCACTAGACACTTACCAACACGCACCTCACTGCTCGAAGTCCGCCGCTGACTGAGCAATCTTGGCTGCGGGCTGTGAGGTGAGGCGCATGCGCAGTAGGGACAGGATGGTCTGCGCCTGCGCCGCAACGGAAATTCGTGGCACGTGTCAACGGACACGTGGACGGACACGTGTGCTTGAGGGTGAACACAGGGTGGTAGTATGCGGCCTCTGCAGCCGCCTCAGTCACCCCGCTGGAAGCTCTTTTAATTCACTCAAAATATCGCAGGCACCAGCTGCTCGCCTGTGATGGGGGAGGGAGCGGGTTGTGTGTGAGAGTGGGCGTGAAAGTGGGGTTTGTGAGAGTGTGACAGTGCATGAATGTGTGAGAAATGGTGTGTGAGAAAGTGTGGGGTGTGGTGTTGATTGTGTGATGTCGGGTGTATGTGTATTTGTGTATTTGTGGTGTCTGTGTGGTGAGTGTGGTTGATTTTTTTTTAACACAGCTGCTTATAATATTTAATTCAAATAATTGGACATTGGCTTCCAATAAACAAGAAACCTGGGAAATAAAATGAAAAAACTAATAATATACAAAAGCATCTTTTGTTTCACTGAAGAAATAAAAAGTAGGAGAAGCAATTCTTGTGTTTTAAGAACATCTAAAGAGTAGATACTAAAGGTAAATAGCATAAATGTTAGCAGTAAAATAGTAAAATTTTAGAAGTCTTTTTAGAAATGATTGTCACAAATGCCAGTGTAACAAATACCAACGTTCTTTTTAGATTTTCATGCTTCTCAAAGAATAACTTTATTTTAACAGACTTAGAGTTATATCTTTGAAGAATAGACCTCAAGTTTGTTTTAAGACATTGTAAAGTTAAGAAATTTTTTCCCCTAACAATTTTTTTTATTAGTGAAACACCATGAGGTACAGTTGTAGATTTACAATTTTTTGTGCTTGGGTTTCGATTATACAATGATCAAATACCCATCCCTCCACCAGTGCCCATTTTCCACCACCATGGATAGTATCCCTCCCACCCCCAACCCTCCCATCCCACCCTGCCTCT